GCGGGGCCCGCGCCGCCGCCGCCGCCCGTCTTCTTGGGCAGCAGCACGGCCTGGATGTTGGGCAGAACGCCGCCCTGCGCGATGGTGACGCCGCCCAGCAGCTTGTTGAGCTCCTCGTCGTTGCGCACCGCCAGCTGCAGGTGGCGGGGGATGATGCGCGTCTTCTTGTTGTCGCGCGCCGCGTTGCCCGCCAGCTCCAGGATCTCGGCCGTCAGGTACTCCAGCACGGCGGCCAGGTAAACGGGCGCGCCGGCCCCCACCCGCTCCGCGTAGTGCCCGCGCCGCAGCAGCCGGTGAACGCGCCCGACCGGGAACTGCAGCCCAGCCCGGGAGGAGCGAGACTTGGCCTTAGCTCGGGCCTTACCGCCGCTCTTGCCACGGCCAGACATGGCGCCTCCCCCCTCCGGAGCTCTGCGGCGAAGTGGGGCGGGAGGCCCCGCACCCAGCCTTTTTATAGCCCTCTGCGAAGTACGGCTCAGCTCATTGGACGGGGCCGCCGCGCCTCGCTACTGGTGCGTCTGCCGGAAGAAGCTTTTTGCTGACTGGTCGCCTGTGCGATACCACCGCGCTTGCCCCGAGTCTATTGGCGACGGAGACCGGCCAATGAGAAGGTAAGGCGCCAAATTCATACCGTGCTGAGGCATACCGGTGCGCGCCGCCGCCGGGGGGGGAAGGGGAAGCGGGGGAAGTGCGGCGCCGCTACCGCCCGGACCGCGGCCGCCGGCCCCCGCGGCAGGCCTTGCGCGGTGGCGGGCCTGCCTGCTCGTCAGGGAGCTGCTGCCGGTGCAGCTGGCAGCGGCGGACCTGCGTTGACTGCGCTCGGGACGAGCTGACCGTCTCGCAGAGGGCCCCTCTGCTTCCCGTCCACCGCGGGCAGGCAGAGCACCCACCGCGCGAGCGCTAGTGCTCCTGACAGGAGATCAGCTTCGAGATCAGCTCTGTGTGAGGAGCTTTGCCCGTGTCACCCCTTAGGTTACGTGAGCGAGGGCTGGTGGCGGTAACCCAAAGGGGCGGAGGCGATGGGGCACTCTGATGACCGCACCGGCAAGGTGCCACCCTGGCTGGGCTGCTCCCACAGCTTTTTGAGGAGTGGGGTCGGCCCCCGGGCCCTGGTCTTGGCCCGGCTCCCCTCTGGAGTGAGGCAGGGGGGCTCCTGGGATCCCTGCAGACTGAGCGGGATCCCTGCCTGTGGGGGTATTGGGCTTACGGTGGCATACGGGGGAAGAACGTTTGGGGATGTGTAAAACCTACTGCGAAATCCTTTTTAGGGGATTCTGGGAATGCGTGAAGGGAAGCACTAAAGGTGGAGAAGGCGTCAAAGAGGACCAGGAGGAAAAAAACATGGGAGGAGTAGCAGGGTGAAGAAGGTGGTCGTGTGTGAACAAACTGCTGATTGGTAGCCTTTATCTCTGCAGTCTGTCCTGTCTCGCTCAACTCCATTTCTAGATTTCTTTTTCCACCGTGAGGGGACTGTCTACCCTGTGTGCATGTGAATGTCTGGATGTCTAAGCGCCAGCAACTGGCGTCAGGCCACAGGTCAAAGGGGCCAGTGTATATGTTGTACCGGCGAATGGGAAGACTGGAGCATGCACAGAGGGGAGCTGGGGCTAGGGTGGAATGCCAGTGTGCATGACCACTAGTGAATGAGCCAGACTAGCGAGCAAGATAACAGACTTTGGCGCCAGGTATCCAGGACCAGATATGGGAGCCATCGGGGTCAGCACGTTGCTTACTGGAGGTAGGTCTGAGCCAGCTTACTGGATAAAACGGGGTAGGCATCTGCAAGTTGGCTACTGGAAGGCCATACATCTGGATCAGCTAGCAGAGAGACTAATTCCTCTCCCCCCCCCCTCTCTAGGAGAGAAGACTTGAGTAAGAGCAAGTAGTGTAGTACTGTGGACCTCAGGTGTTCATATGCCCCGGTGCCAGGAAATCCAGCAGCTAGTTACTGGACAGACTGAGCATTTAAGGCCAGCTACTGAAAGGATTCATTAACATTTGTGTGTGTACACGTATATGTTTATATGAATACACCCTTCTAGCAGACTTCCAAACTCATCAGCTGGAGAGGAGGAAGAGGATTTGGCCACTTGTACCATTCACATTTGAGTGCTGTGTATTTTCTGTGTTGATCAGTGTTGCTGGACATATGCATTTCTGCCTACCAGGAATACGTTCTCAGCCTTGCTACTGGCTGGACTTGGATGTGTGGAGGTGTGATTAAGTTACTGGACTCAGCAACTTCTACTGTCACCCATCTCAGCGTCCCTGTCTTTGCTGTTGCATTATTTCACTTTTCACTCCCATTAATCTTGTGCAGACTCTTTAACCTGGTACTCCAAGGCTGTGTGTGTTTATCTGTCAGGAAGGCAGCAATTCTGTGGCGAACTACGGTGCCAGCTACTGCTATATAAATAACGATTTGTATTTGAGGAAGAGGTAATTGCAGCCTGCAGGGTCTTACTTCCACATTAATCTAAGGCTTTTATGAAAGTCCTCTGTTACGCAAGGACACAGCCATCCTTACTCTGCTAGCCTGGTCCAGACATGTCCTATTCCACGAAGCAAGGTGGGAAGGCAGATGACAAAGATGTTCAGAAATAAAAGCCCTTTGGTGGGAACATTCCCCGTAGCTGTGAATGAGAAGGGAGTCTGCTGCAGAAATGATCAGCCCCCTAGCAGGGTAGAAAGCCACAGAGATGTATCATGTAACCTAGTTTCACTGCGTGTCAATGTTCTCGAGGCAAAGCATGAAGGGGAAAGGGTACCATGAGTTATTTTATTCTCAGAGCACTCTTGAGTTTTGGGTATGGTTTATAACATGTCACTCTATGTCCATGGACCAAAGACAGGATTGGAGAAGCCAGGAGAGGATTCTGGTTTACTTGCTCTGCTGTACAGAGTCTCATGGAAATGGAAGTTCCTGTTTCCTCTCTCGGGGAACAGTAACATGCTTGCTAGATGTATAGAGATTTCATCCTTCCCACTTTGCTGTGAGTAAACATTTGGGTCATTTACTTCCCCTCTGAAAGGTATTCCCAGTAACAATGATGTTCAAGTAGCAGTGAATCTTTTCTGTCAGCAGAATCGGACAAAAGCCTTCTGTGCACAAAAAAAAAGATGATTACAGTTCAAGACTGGCCCACGCAGAGTAGTTGCTTGCATTCTGACAGGTGTCCTGAGGTTCTCGGCGGGCCGGAGTAAGATCAGTTGAATCATTTGGTCAGCAACTGGAGAAAATTGACCGGCAGGTACAACTCTTTCCCCTGCTCCTGACAGCCCAGTCATACATCGTAAAACAAGCGCACTAGTTGGTACCGGATTGAAAAAGCAATTGTGCTACCCAGGACCTAGGTAAAAATGAGACAGACAACAGAAACGTTACAGTGTTAAGTAGTTTACAGGCTGGCAGATTCCTCCTTTCCAGATGGATTTGCTGCGCTTTCGAGTGTGTCTCGTTTCACTAAATAACACCACTTAGGCTATGTTTTTAGGTATAGAAAGACGAAAGGCAGAAGTCTAGCCAAAGTCCTCGGTTCTTTGTCCGAGAACTGTAGCTATCTGCAGGAGATTTCTGTGTGTGCCTGCGTGCAGTTGCATTCTGAGGACAAGTGGACGAGATGAACAGTTGGGAACAACTCTTTCCTCCTTAAGGAGGAAACGTAAACCCTATGGTTTGTGATGGAAAATACCTCGTGTCAAAGCTGCAATTCAGCATCCTTACAAGAAGGTGCTGCCAAGACTTCTCTGCTGTGACTGGGCTCAAGATCAAGCAGTACGTACTTCCCGTCCTCTCCCATCCCTGATGCAGCCTGCCTAAGCCCTGCTCAGTCTCCAGGTTTGTTTGCTGGAAGTCCTTCCTCATGAATGGGAATTTGGCTGTCTCTTCTCTTTCCTAGTAAGAATCTCTTATCTTTGATCTGAGGATGAAAAAATAATTTTATTGTGGGCAACTAAACAATGCAGGCCTTTCCAAAAGCAGTGTTTCTACTATAATATGCATGCGAGTTCACATGCTGAATGGAGGTAGCGGCAGTATCTGAGAGGCACGTTATCCTTGCGCACCAAGTTGCTTCAAAACACTCCTGCACCCCACTCAGATTTCAGATACCACTGAGCTGCCTGCCACGCTTACGCAAGTCCACTGACTGGAGATAACTCCGGGACTGTTATTTGGTGTGACTGAAAAACAGGAATGTGGAAAAAGGCTGTATCGGGTCAGAGTGACAAAGCACTCCGCTTTCCTAATGTTTTTCTAGCAGCCAGCGATTCGTGCCTTGGGACTCTTTTCAAGCTAACCTTAGGGACTTTATATTTATTAGCTCCCAATGAATGGGGCGGGGAGGGGGGGAGGAATCAGTTTCCTCCTTGAGCTGTGTAAACCTCTGATTCTCCTCAAGTTGCACAGCTCAACTGCATCTTGTGAAGAGCATGATACTTTACTTCCCCCTTTCAACTCTTGAGACCAATTTGGATCTGTTTCTATTGCAAAGTATGTCTTTCTACTGGAGGAACCATTTGTCTGACCTGAATGAGTAGCAACAGGAGAGTGAGATTTCGCTCGTGGGTGGGTCCAATCAGCTTTATAACAAAGTTAATAAGTGTCATATTATTGCACTCGGTGTATTCGCCATCTTCATCTGTTCCACTCCTCACATCTACTATGTGCAAGATCTTGACTGCCTGGGGAAAGAAATGTTGCATGCTATTTCACCAGGTATGTTTGGTGCTCACCGGCTGGTTTTGCTCTAGATCCCTTTTGCTGTACCATCCCTGAAGTCTCACTCATGCTCTTACTGAAAAGACAGGACAGGCTTATGATGGTCCTGGGACATGGCTACGCGTGCTGTTCTGAAAGACTCATTATTAACACATTCGACTGACTGCGAGGGAGGGTGACATGCTAAGCAGAATATATTTTCTTCTGGATTTGAGCCAGGAAATAACTAGTGAACCCAGAAGTTAGGCATTCCCTCCCATCCTGTTCCTCTCACATTTGATCACCACCTTAAAATGCGTCTGGATTTTTAATGTTTTCCAGGTATTACCTTCAGAATGTTTGTTCCCAGGGCAGAGAGACTCTTAGTTTTGAATTTGGAGTAGCTCATCTCCAACTTCCCTGTACTAGGATTGAGCCTAAAAGAAACATTAAAATTTTAGTCTGGATAGAGCAAGGAGACAGAGAGATCCCTATGTAAGCAGACTTAGATCCCTAGCTGAGTAGCTGAGGAAGAAATCCACTGGTGGAAAAAGCAGGAATAATCTGGTATGCTTAACAACAGCTGCTGATACTGCGTCCCCAATATAAGCATAAAGCTATATAGTTTTAAAAATAAAATAGAAGAATCTAACAGCTGCAGAGACAATTGCTGATATGGCATAGTGCCACAGAATGCCTGCTACTATGAAATCTTAGCAGATCCTACTGCAACAGCATTAAAAGTGGCCTGTATCAATTTCCCTCAATCTTGTAGCTGAGAATAATCACATTCTAACATTGTTAAAAATCACTCGTCTTTATCTGGGGGCAGGGCGTAGTCAGAAGAGTTAACTTCTTTGAGAAACCTCTACTGTGTGACTCGCTCGTAGCTGGCGGAGTGAGCCAGCTAACTTTTAACTACAAAATTTACTTTGATGGCTTTTAAAAAGAGCACCTACCACCACCTTTCTCAGCTGGTGTTGGAGATAAAAGGCACAATCTGTGGTACCGTTATGGGTCACTTTGGTACGTTACCTCGGCAGCCGGTGACGGGGACAAGGAATGATGTGGAACAGTTGAGGCAACGAGTAGAGGAAGTTGAGCACTTGTGGGATGAAAAAAAGCAGCATTGTTTTGCTAAAGTGCCCCAAGATCCCCACCACAGCGAAGGTCATGCCAGCAAAGTAGCAGAAGGTGTCCCCAACAAACACTCGAGATGGGTACCTGCAGTCCACAGGGCAGAAAAGCAAAGGTCTGTCACAGTCGCTGTTGCCATGAAAATGACTTTATAACCACTGAATGTATTCCCACATGGCAGGTTAGGGGCCAAGAGGGGATCTACACCATAATAAACAATTGCAGGTATTTATGCTAAGAACTGCGGGACTGGGACCAACCTGACTTTCAGAGAATACGGTATGAAAAAATGGCTAGCGAGACATTTGGGGGAGTGTATTCTGTGCATTTTGGTGAGCCGGTGTGACTGGAATTGTTCTAATAGAAACAAAAGCTACCGGTGCATCGATGCTTTGCGCTCTTGGTTCTAGCAAAAAGCCTGTCTACGCTCCAGTGTCCCACCTGCACACTGGTAAGTGGTTTGGTTTGTTTGAAAAGGGAGAAAGTAAAGGGAAAGGATGCTTCTGAAGAAACTCTGAATGTCTGTCCTCTTACCAGTTGTGGTAAAACAGCCCCAGCGTGGTAAAAAAAAAGGGAATCATGAAGTAGAGGGAAAAAATGTGATCATCTCGATAATCCCCTATAGAAACAAGAAAAAAATGCATTTATGATAAGACAGGACTGGTTGATTTTTAGTTATACCAGATATTGAAATCTAGGATTCTATCTCCCTTTGCTTTTTGCACACGCAAACATATATGTTATCTTCCTTACCGTTTAACTCTACAATGTTGAATACGATGATGGAAGCAGCTATCACCAGAGACTGCCCTGCTTCAATTCCATTAATTCCAGCAAGAATGTTGATGGCATTAGTGCAGAACACTGCTAGCATGCCCATGTACACATAGTAGAGGATACCTGCAGATCAGAGCGAACCAAGCGCTTTAGTATTCATAGGCAAAGCAGGCCCTGGTCCAGTTCACCGAAGCTCTCGCTTCCTGCTTTGTACAACAATCCATTACCTAGCGCTCTCAGTGAGTTTTGATAGTGGTAGCTTATTAATAAATCACTCCCTGTCCTGTGAACAGCCCTCACGCGTACACGTATGTACAACACGGCGACGGCAGCAAACCGTTGCGACACGGCAGCAAACTGTAGTGCTCCGTTTCTGTCCTTTGGTCATTCTGGTATTGGCAGCCGATCACCCAACTATTGCCAGAATCCTGGAAAAATGATCAGTGCCTACCCATGTGCACTTGAACGCATGCTGGGTTTCTGGATGTTCTTTCCAGCCTAATACTTAGTGGGTGGAGTTGTGCCCTCTCTTTGGTTACTTAAGCAAATCCTTCGTGTGTTCCCCCTGCAGCACAGAGTGCCATCAGGTGACCCCTTCTGCCGATTGCTCGCCGCTTGGACGATGGCTTTGGGTGATTCATAACTTACCCAGGTCCAAGTGCATGCCCAGCAGCACCCGGAAGGGCTTAGGCACCACAATGGTCGTGTTCCCAAAGTTGGTGAAGTAAACCATGAGCAGCGGGAGGGAAGCCATGGTAGGAAGAAGGAGCTTGTGGCGCCAGCGCAGGTTCAGAACGTCATCGGCAAAGCCCAGGAAAATCATGCAGCAGATGGCGAGGAGCGAACCGATGAGCTCCACGAACTGCGGAACAGAGAACGGGACCCTGATTACCAGTGGCCGCTCCCTGCCCATGCCCACCACACGCCCGGCGCCAGGCCAGGCAAGCCTCACCTCGTCATAAGGAAAGGCCGCGCACTGCTCCTCCACGAAGCATCTCAGGAAGGGCACGGGGATGAAGCAGAAGAGGGTGATCAGGAACACGGCCCCGCTGATCACGCCCTGTGCTTCGGGGCTGAAACGAAGGCAAGGTGGGGAGTCAGCCCGGCCGATCCCCAGCCCGGTCTCGGGGCCGGTGCCGGTCCGGCCCCGCGGCGCACAGTTCGGCGGGGCAGCGCTACTCACACGGGGTGCCGCGAGGCCTTGTTGAGGTCTTCGCCGAACAGCCGCGCGGCGAGGAAGTGGTCCTTGAAGGCCGGGATCAGCGTGACCGTGGCCGCGAAGCCCAGCAGCGACCCGCCGAGGTTGATGAGGAGGGGCACGGCGGGCCAGGCCGCCATGGCCGCGGCGGGCGCTGCCCCTGCCAAGGGCAAAGAGCGGGGCCGGGCGCAGAGCGCCGCCCGCCGCCGCCTCCCGCCGCGTGTTTCCAGCCGGAGGCTAGAGAGGAGGCACCGGATGCGCCCTCCGGCCCACCGGCGAGGGGCGCGCCATCTTTGGCCCTGGCGCGAGCCGCCTGCCGGCGTGGGGCTCTGCGCGGAGACCGGCCGCGGCCGGTACCGCTTTCGGCTGC